GAGATGATGTTGTCCCAGAACAGGGAGGCACCACTGTAGCTCCACATGCCTCGTTAGAGACAGTGACGTTCTTGGAGAGTGTGCAGACTGAAGTCAAGATTGAAATGGCATCGTGAGAAGCTGCCCATGCCACTAAAGCTCTGAAATAGTTCATCATGCAATCGGTTTCCGTGTCTCCTATAACAAACTAATGCTATCCACAAAAACCACGGACACACACAACTTACCCTGTGCGCAGAAACAAGGCCCTCACGGACGGCAGCCTTCTGCGGAGCAAACAAATGGTTTTGACCGTTACTGCCGGGCATCAAATTCACAGCCAGAAGCCCCGAGACACACCAAACATGTGCATGAAATGAAGGCAAACGTCAGACGCACGCCCGCACGCGCGCTGTCCCGCACATCTCGGCGCTCAGCCAGCCCCGGGTCTCTCTGGGGAAGCTGTCCCTCGGACACCACTGTCCACCAGCTGAGCGGAAGGGCAGGCTGCTGGTGGTGGGCATGGCTCCAGCGTCTCCCATGCTGTTCGGCCCACACTGTACAGACGCCGAACCGCTTTCAGGTTGCAAAGGCTCCGTTGAAATGATCAGGCCAGTTGCACACAGAGCTGCCTGGAGGTCGAGCCTGCTACCCGGGTGCGATCTTGCGACTGGACCTTAGGGCTCTCCTGAGAGCCACGCCACCTGGAGGACGCCGCACGACTCAGATTCTCATCTTCACAGCCCTTCCAGAGGCCTGGCCTGACGGTTGCGCTGACCCCAGCAGGCCTGGGTGCAGCTGAGCGGGCGGGGTGAGGGGCGGGCCCTGCATCTGAAGCCTGAGGCCTGAGTGGCGTGGGGCAGGGGGGAAGCAGGTTCCTCTGGCCACCCACAGGTCCGCTCTCGCCATGGGGTGCCACCTCTGTGCCCGCAGCACTTTGTCTTCCTCCCCCAGAGCAGCTCAAGCCCAGCGTGAGCAGGACGCAGGTTCTGATGTGAACCCCTGCTGCTCCTGGTCGCACCCAGTCTGCACAACCAGCAGCAGCAGCACTGCCGACACGTCCGCGTGGCCATGGCGGCTCCTGACGCAGGCTCAGGATGTGACATGCTTCTGGCGAGGGGCCATCCACTCGCCGCCGCCGAATGCTCTCCAGCAAGACCCCAGCACCACCTCGCTGCGGGCCAGGGGCCGGCTCTAGGAGCCATCCGGGAACACCAGCTGCTCTTGGTTCCCACAGGCCAGACCAGACCCCACGAGACCGAGTGCCGGTCTATGACACTGACAGGGAGTCACCGACTGCGAAGGACCCCCACTTCTGTGCAGACAGCCTGAGCCTGTCACCCCGTGCCTCAAGAGTCAAAGAAGTGGCCGAGGGGAAAGCGGGGCTGGGCAGTGGCGGACACCATGCATGTGGGTGCTCTGGAGGTGAGCTTGTGAACGCATCGGGGGCGCATTCGCACCTGCCTGTTTCACCGCGGTGGAACCCGGGTGCCGCAGGGTGCTGCTAGGTACGCAGGAAAAGGCCACTTGTCACTGTCAATCCCCTGTGTGGAAGGGAAACACCACGGATGCGGGAATGCAGGGGCAGGGGGAGGAACATCTCTGCTTTCACTCCGAGAGTCGGGATTATTTCGTGTTGTTGTTCTTACTGAAAGGAGACCTAGTGGAAGCGAGGTTCTGCGGTTAAATTGCTTTCCGATTCTAAGAGAACAGAGAAAAAAGTTACCTGGATTTTGCGCGGGGACTTTTCCAGGCACGGAAGAGCCTGGAAGCTGACAGGCTGACCCAGAGCTCAGCTGGAGCCAGGAAACTACACACAGGCCGCCCGAAGGGAGCTCCCGTCTCCAGGGCCCTGCGGAGCAGCCTCGTGGCACTTGCGTTCTGGCGGCCTGGTCTGGCCCGTGAGCTTCTCACTCGCGCTTGGTGCTTGCCCCGCAGACTGCCTGGTGCTCCCGGCCCGGTCCCAGGCTGCAGAACCTCATCCTCCTAGCGGGGACGCTGGAGGTCGCGTTCTTTCTGACTCCTTCCGCACCGATTCATAATCCAGCCTTTTCTTCCTTTTCTCAAACCCTGATGTCACCACCTGCCCCTGTGAGCGAGGCCCCGGGCACAGGCCAGCAGGAAACAGGCTGGCGCTCCAGGGGGCTCTGGCACTGGGCCTCCATGGGGACAGACACCCACTGCTGTCCGGAAGTGGCCGCCGAGGCACGTCTGTCTGGCGGCTCGCAGCTGGACCGCACGCTCCTCCTGGCCGGCACGCCAGGCTCCCTCCGTGCTGTCTGCGTCTTGCAAACAGAAAGAGCTCCACACGCCAGCTCAGCAAGCCGCCCGAACCCCACTGTGCTCCTGCGACCAGCTGGGGTGGGCTTGAGTCCCGCCTGCAGAGACTGTGATAGAGCCCCAGGAAAGTCTGGCTTGGAGTACCCCAAATAGGGCCAATAACAGGGCAAACGCCAAGGTGCCCAGGGTTTAACCCTGAGTAAGAGCCCCAGCTTAGCGGTCTGACCTGTGACTGTTTTAGGGTAGTCAGAATCAACCAGCCCTGAGAACAGAGCGTTTCTATTAGTATTTATGTTTTACGTGGCAGAAAGGTGGGGCTGCCCGGTCTTCACTCCGTGCTCACATGACTCTGCACTAAGCCCACCCGTCAGTGGACTGAGGCCACCCTAACCCAGTCTGACCTCAACTAGCCAGACTTGCAGACACCTTATTTCCAAATAAGGTCACATTCACAGGTGCCAGGACTCAGACCTTCAGCATCGTATCTTTTGGGGGACACGAACCAGGGCACCGTGATTCCGCATCATTCCACATTTCTCCCTTCACGCAAGCCCATCCCTGCTTGTGCACCGGCTCCAGGCACAATGGGCTCAGCTCCCACGCGTCTCTGCACAGTGTCTCACCATGAGGCCTACACAAACACTGCCCGAAGGGAGAGTCACGCCTCCTGGAGTCACCCTCACAGGCAGATCACAGACCCCACGAGACATCCTGGCTTCAATAGCGCCAGGCTCTGGGACCCCCAGATCACACATATTTCTGAGCAACGGGGAAATCTGAGCTGTTTCTACGACTCCCTTGGTCAAAGTAGAAGGGTGCAGGGAACAGCGTAAGGACAGGAGGCAAGACAGAGGGGTACAGGCACAGCGGCCAGCGCTGGACAGACGGACACAGGTAAAAAAAAAGGACAGTATGTGCTACGTGATGTGTCTTAGTACTATTTCTTTTGAGTGGCCCTTAAACCATAACAACACCTTTTCAATG